TGCAGATTTTATATATTTTATTTATCTGTTATAGAATAAAATAGATTAAGACCTTTTTTTTCTTTAGTTACAACAGTAGTGCCAAAGCTAAAAACTACAGCAGAATAATTTTTGAGGGGAAAAATGTCCTAAGAAGGGGAAATTTGAATTGAGGCGTGGGGAAAGGAAATCATTAAAGTGGAAACACTGATGGCAGTAGCGAAATAGTAAAATAATTGCACTGCATTGCACGCACAGACTGACTACGCTACGCAATCTTATTATTATTTAGATAATAATAAGAATTATAAAACGAATCGAAAAAGGAGAAAATATATAAAAGTTAACAATTTGTTATAGTACCTACATTAAAAGATTAAAAATTGATTATATGTATAATCAAACCTATCCTTCATTATTTACCCCAGTATCCTTGAATCAGTTTACATTTAATAACTTACTATGCATAAATATTCATTGGCACAAGTCTAAATTCCAAGTCCAACCCTAGCGCATACACGCTCCTGCTCAAGGTCACTGACGCTGGACTATCAAGTACAGAGAGTGTCACCGCTGTGGAGCAATATTCCACGCAGGATCGCACTTACGTTTTGTACAACAAGTACAGTAGATCGGGCGTGGAAAAACGCCGCACCTTGTTCAGGACTCCAAGTTTGCTTGAAGCTGTTTTGATCACGATTTCGATGTAGGCTTGATCGGTAGCGGGGGCAGGTTTTATATTACTTGGTGCTACGGAACCCTTCATGGGCGAGTCCGACTTGCGCTTGGCCGAATTTTGCTTTTTGGCTTGGCCTTTGTGGATTGACGCAAATTATGTGTACGTGATTAACATAAAAAGTGGTGATTAAGATGTCTCAACCAATATCGACCCGTGGCTGCTAGGGGTACTAATAGGGGTGGAAGAGGTGTTAAAAATATAGACTTAAAAATAGCAGATAAATCCGAGAAGTATTAAGATGAGGTAAGAAGATAAGATAAGGAAAGGAATAAAGGGATGTAGTAAGAGGAGATACGAAGATACTTATTGTTGTTACTTAAAATAGACCGTTATACCTACTATAAGGAATAATGAAAGAAACACCTCGTGAGGACTTAGTCAAATCCTAACTCACAATGTGGAGCTTTGATCAGAACAAAGAAGAACTACAGCTACGCTTTGTCAAATCGAGTTGCAAACCAAAACTGTGCCCAAGGTTATGAATTAAAATTTTACCCACCAATTTTTACGGGTTTAATAGTTAGTATTTAAACACAAAGGTGTCAAAGATTCTGCCATGATACTCTAAACTAAAAACTTATTTAACCTCAGGCTCTCCTTTCCATTCTGTATAGAGAATGACAAAGATATACTGCTGTCAAAGTTCAGTTTAGGTTTAGATAATCATGCCAGAATCGACACCGGAGTTTTCTCTTCTGCGCAAGTGGCCCTTGCATATGCATATGCAAATGCATAATTGTCAAAGTATGATATGTTCAGGAATGTAGGCAGAGGTTGATGATCAAAACGCAGATGCAAGCTCAATCTGTGCGTGACGTTACATCACGGCATACGGCAGGGCACCAATCGGATACGATTTTATATTTTACTAGTCATCATTTTAAACTTTTCAAATTTTGGTAATCCTATATTCACTAACGCATTAAACACGTCTCGTGAAGACCAAGTACGTTGTTTCTTTTTACTAAAAAGTGGTTCAACCACATTTTAACGCGAACACCTGGTCCTTCCACGCCAAATAAGGAATCAGCGATTTATAATTTAACAAAATTTTGTTAAATTAATATTTGGTAATATTAATTTAACAAAAGATAAAAAGGTTTATTAATTTTTGCTTTTCAGTTTTTTCGGCGGTTTAATTTTGCATGTAGAAAATATTAAATTAAAACAGCGGGTCCGAAATTAGTTCCGACAATAATCCAACAAAACGAATGAAAACCGATACAGAGTTCTATATATTTTAAAGTCTTTTGTTAATAGTTCAAAAGTATTGGATTTTGTAATGTAACGTCACAAAACTAAGGACCCGTCCCACACTTTGTTACACAATGGTTACGATTCTAGAATGATTCTCTAAACCTAAACTTAAATTTGACAGCAGTATATTCTTGTCATTCTCTATACAGAATGAAAAGGAGATATTGATGTTAAATGTAGTTTTAAGTTTCGAGAATCACGCCAATATTGGCACCACATTCACACTACGTCAACCCCCTCCCTCCCCCTTAACGTTTAACGTACTTTATGGATGACCCCGTGATTATAAAAGAAACCTTTTGTTCTGTGAACAAAAGGTTTGCTCTTCAGCATCTAAATCTTATGTCAAAAAAATCTATAAAATGGTTTTTTGTTGAAGTTGTTATTCAAAAACTAAGCGAGTTACGGTAAAAATATCCTCACAATTATTTGCAGTTAACAAAACACGTAGGTATATCATAGTACCGTTAAAGAAGATTCCTATTCATCTTTCACACATTATGAGACACACGCACACAAGTGTGTTAAAGTTCTATGAGTTTTCCCGCAAAACTGCATTGTGTTTTGGACATATCATGTTGAAACTTTAGATTTTTTACTTTTAACAAGATATTTCACCGTTAATATTGGGCTAGTGATGTTTTGAATTGTTTTTTATAAGCTATATTTTTACTTCGAATATTTTGTTCATAAAATACTTATTTACAGTTTTTCATAAAAAACGTCTGAATATGAGGTTTTCTTGTTGAAAACTTAACGTTTTCATTTTTTTAATTTCCAATAGTTGAAAAGTAATGCTGATTAGTAAAATCTTTATGGAACACAAGTTGCTTAGAATAAGTCTATCCAATTCTTATTTTTAATAAAATAATTTTCATCGCCGAGAAGGGGTGGCGTCTATCCCCAGGGTAAAAGCAACCCTCGGCACAATAGAGGGTAAGTAGAACCTACAGCCAAAAAGCTAAAGCTAATCGGTGCTGTTTGGTTGAATAGGCAGCGAAACCGTGTATTGACGGAAGTAAAATGTTTATTTAATTGCCACCTAGCAAATAGATGCTGGAGTAATCCCGCCGCCGCGCCGCTGACTAAACAAAGGTTGACGGATTACCGTGGTAGTTTTTTGGTGATACCTAAGCCCCTTTATGTGTGCAAATGAGAAGAACTTTTATCGTCTGGTCGATGCACAGAAGAGAGACCGACATAACGCTGGGCATGCATGCCATTCTCTCAAAATATAAATCTAGTATAAAAAATATTAGGAATGATGCAAGATATGGGCGTTCCCACGCCACGGTGGGGCAGTAATGCCCCGCCCACAATGGTCAATACTAATCGATTGGATCTATAAAGTGATATACTTGTACTATCATGTATTCTGTGATATAGGTAACTAGAGTCCCGACCTTTGCTTCAGAGTAGTATTTTGTGATCTCTCGGACATTATACTGTCTTACTAAAAATATGTATGTGCATGTATCTACTTGTCCAACTTTTTGGGGTAACAAGGATATTATCTATACCTAAGTATGACCGTTCCGTCTATTAAAAACTAAGCTAATAACTGAAGGTGAAAGAAAACCGTTGATGTTTTTGAGAAAATGGAGAAAATACATACATACAGACGTAGCGAGCGACTTTGTTTTCTAAGATGTAGTGATAAAAGGATTTCTTTCTTTCTTTGCCCCACCATGCAAAAAGAGGTGCATTTCGGTTTTTGTTTCTTCCAAGGCAGAAAGGCAGCAAACAGTTGATTATCATGTACTTTCTAGTATCTATGCTATGCTTGCTATGGATACTTACTGGCATTTTAAAGTTAAACGGGACCAAGTTTTAGTGCAAAATTACTTTAACTAACCTGAAAGTTTTGCGCAAAGCGCGCTGGAAAACTTTTCCACGATCAAGGCCTTCGGCCGGTAATGTTGCAATTGTCCCAATTTTATTGGGAATATATTTAAATATTTAAATTATCACAAAAAATATACAACGACAAACCTAAAGGTTAACATTTGTATTTTGGAGATCATTCATGCATAAGCCATTTTATAGCATAAAAATAAATTAAATCTGAAAACACAACAAAATAAGCAGATTTCGTTTTGATTCAAATTGCCCAGCCCCTCCCTAGCATAAGCATGAGCGGGATATGATATATAGCTGTACAAGGACTGCCCCTGTAGCATAAGCACTACATTATACATTTTATCACGTTTTTTATCGTGTCGAACTGTCGAAATCCATAGTAAATTGACAATTGAGCGTTATCAAATCGAGGGCATTAAATCAGTAATTTTATATTTAACCCCCCATTATTTATTTCTTATCTTTTCGCGTACTCCATTTCCAACCATGAAATAAAAACAAAAAAAAAATACTTATCTTTTAGCGACTTCTAAAGCGCTTTTAATAATATTATCATTATTCATGACATTTCGGGCCCTATTCAGGATCCGTGTTTACAAGATTTATCTTCTTAAATCGTTAAAAGTGGTTTTATTCAACCCTAGCCCCCTTAATAATAAACAAGGAATAAGCTTGGATTAGTTACTCAATGTTTGTCTTTGTTCATTGAATTACTAAGCATTTGAGTGATATGAATAAAACAAGGCGTAAATAAAATCTAAGCTTATTCCTTGTTTATTATTTTGTCCCTGAAACAACTATGTCAAATCGATAATATGTTACCAAAGGAAAGTACGAATGAAAGTTTTTTTTAATTAATTAAAAGTATGTATTCTTATAAATGGAATTTTTAAAATTTTAAAAATTACTTATAGGGATCGTATATTTACATACCCCTATTTTTTTAATATTTGGCGTATACTAGCTGTATAATTTTCTTTCATTTAGTAAGGAAGTATCTATACTACCTTTACTAATGGGTATCTTAACTAAGTATTAATTAATTATATCTAAATCCTGTACACATATTAAAGAAGCACTATCACATTTTTTAAACATATCTACCTACTTACTTAACTCCACATTTTACATACTTAATCATTTTCACTCACTGAATGGAATAGTACATGTCTTTTTAAGTTACTAATTACTTATTATGATTGAGTCTATAGATTTTTTTTTAATTAGGTCACGTTTGTCCATTGGTCCACTCTCCTTCCATCCTCCAGACGGAAAAGGCGTAGCTGAGCTTGTCCTGCGCGAGGTACTTGCCGTGGTCGGAGCCGGCGTCGCTGCCGCTGTCGCTGGCCTGCTCGCCGCTCGACAGGATCTGGTACAGGAACTCGATGTAGCGCGTCGCCAGCTGCAGCGTCTGGATCTTGGACAGCTTGTCGCTAGGCAGCGAGGGGATGATCTGCCGTAGGCTCGCGAACGCCTCGTTCAGGCTCTGCGTGCGCTGCCGCTCGCGCACGTTCGCCATCACTCGCTGTACCTGCATCTCCTCGAAGCTTGCAGATCTTTTTTTAGACGATTTTCGTTTTCTGGCCATCCTTTGATCTTCTGTTTCAGATATATTTTCATTGAGCGATGACCGACTGCCGTCGTCCAACTTTTGCATCTTGCTATTTTCGTAGTAGCTCTGTGTACCATCTTGAGAATTAGAGTCTTCGAAGTAGAGATTCCTTTGATGCTGCCTCTGATAGGGCTGGTCGTATGACAAAAACTGTGGCTGAGTATATTGTCGTTCCTCGCCATCAAAGGAAACGTTGGATGGCCACGTCTGGAGCGGGGGTCGCTCGCAATTACCGCTTAGGTCCATGAGGTGCGTAGGTGAGTCGTCGTTGGACGTGTGCATAACTGCTTCTGATTGTCGTTTTATTTCTAAAGGAACGTACGAATAATAAGGCTCATTGTCGTGACACTCAATTTTAACTTCGCGCTTAATCGACACTGGGTAATCACTATTCGCATAGTCCATGGTGTTGTCGTGGCTAGCTAACGATATGGTAGCGTGCGGGTGTACGGCATACGACCGGGGCGGTGGGCGCGGAAGAACTGAGGTCCTTCGCGTCCCTTCGTTGACAAGACAAAAAATAACCGATCCGCTGCGCCTGCGCCTCCCAGAGCGCCGCGCGCCGCCTCCTGGGGCCGCTCGAGCGCCTGCGTTGGACAGAGATAGCTATAACGGCCATATTGATCGCATTTGTGTTTATCTTGTCCATCATATTTCTAACGTATATTCACGTTACATAGGTAGGGATACGGTCGCCATTACGATTTCAAAAAAGGTGGAACGTTATTGTTATTATAACTTATAATGATTGATGATTCCATGAGTATTGTCTAAAAAATGTAACTTGGACATAGATTCTAAAAATAAGGTACCTTCCATGATTTTATATTTATTAACAGCATCGGATTTTATAAGTTTTCTATAAAAAAAAAACAGGAAAACCTATCTAATTTTGTTAGGTACATAATAATAACAAAGACATTTTTAATAAAAAATAAAAACCGACTTCATAAGAAGACAAAACCACAAAAATAAGAAATTTGGAATGCATTTTCTTTACTGATGAGGCCGCGTTGTTTCATCTATAAGTAGTTAAAATTGACTATCTATATTCAAATACTATAGAAAAAAATACGCATTTGGCAAAATTTTACTCATTTTTAATTATTTGACGTGACATTAACTAAAGTCAGATTTAACTATGGATGAAACCACGCGGCCTAAGTCTAAAGTAAACTTAATATTTGGTGTCGAACGCAAGTAGTAAATCTATCAGGAAACTCAGGTCTAAAACATGCATGTCTGATATGCATGTTTTTTAAAAACAAGAAAAAACGAGAAAAAGATTTCAGTAGGCGCAGTCCTTTAAAGTCTGTCGGCAAATTAACAAGAACCTACTTACGTTATCTTAGCAGTCGGCGGAACTTACAAAGATACAAGTTATACGTTATTATGTGTGCACAAAGCTTGAGAGTTTGTCTTCTTTAAAGAGGAAAAAATCTCTACTTAATTTTTCGAGTAATTGAGAATCTCTACTTATTTTGAGTAATCAGCAATGACCATAACTAAACTTGCTATAATTATGTTTTTGGTGGCCTGTCTGGGTAAGTATTTACATTAACAATACAATAGAAAACTACTAAAATTTAATTAAAAAATTAAATAGGTATTTCATTTATAATTTTCAACTATACTCACAACTATTTCTTATATTATAGACAACAAAAAAAAAAAGATGAAGAAATGGCATATTTATCTTTGGCATGCTAGGAAGGTATCATTGTAAAATACTTAAGACTGCTTTCATATAAAAACTTGTAAACTCGCACTTATACTTAACTGTTTAGGTGTTATTTCATAGGTACCTTAATCTCGTTTAATGTAGGGTAAAGAAAGATAAACGCTCGCATCCCTAGTTTGAGACACAGATGTTCGGAATTACTGAGTCGAGTTTATTTTCTTAACTATTTTCAAGCCACGGTTTATTTTTGTGCGGTTTTGTCCTTGATGTTGCACCTGATTTAGATAATAAACAACTAAGTGACAAAACGCTGCTAAGTGTGTGTTTTAGAAGTATTGGAAAAGTTGCTATGCGGGGCTTTGTTATTTAGATCATAGCGTTTCAAGTATTTTTTTTAGATTTCTGGGGTAGCTTTATACTAATGAAAGCTTTCTGAAATTTAAGTATACTCATCTAAGATAATCAATCTCTACATTTTTTAAAGGTCGTTACTTACCAAACTGATGATGGTTGGGAAACGACAAGAACGTAGATATCAAAAAATCTTTGTCAAAGGAAGGTAAGGCGTGAATTACAGTACCTACTCAAAAATCGGCAAATTGTTGTAATAGCTTAATGACTATGAAGACAATCATCTTACATTATCTAGATAGGCACCTACTTACCTACCTATACAGTTTATTGAAAAAGAAAATTTTAGGGTTTCAGAAAAGGTATTTAGATATGTAAGTTTATAAGTCATACCTACTTTCTGTGCCTAAATCAAACATTATAAATAATTGTAAGCAATATTATTTGTAATTCACTAGTAAAATAACGAAAGGTCAGCAATAAAACAAACAGCGTTCCCACGAGCGCATCTGCGTACCACATGCCAAAATACCCACTGCCCATCGCCATTGTCTTTCCACAATGCAACGGAGATTAGGTTCTGAACGACTATAGACAGATAAATAGACTTAGAAATTGTTACTGCCATAAAACATCTGTGAGGCCTCCGCAGCTGCGTACTGAAGAAAATACGTCACACGTGCAGTATCTTTAGTCAGGCAGCTACCTGACGCCCGCGCTGATAAGAAAGCCTTTTGTTTAAATTATTAAAAAGTTACTTATGCTAATTCCCTTAATAATTGTTTGGTGAACACCTGCGCTTTAGAAAAGGACTAGATTCTCGAGTGGACTTGTTTTAAAGCTTTAAAGTTCTTTTGTGTTATTTATAATTGTAACAAATAGGGTCAGACACTTTTGTGTTGAGATCGAAAAACATTGCAACGATGCTCGAATAAAAAATCTAAGAATATGAATCAGGTCATCAGAATATTATCCTAAAACCCTTATGGACGTCACTATTGTACTTAGTTTAATAAACTCTAAATAATAAAAAAATAACAGTGAATAAACGAAATAACAAATTTTAATACTTTATTAAGAAACAAAAAGAAGTAAAAGTGACGTAGGTAAGTTTATTATTTAAAAAATATCGTGTTTGAAAATTCATATTTATTTACTAAATAAAAACTTACTTTAATTAATTGAACCGTGTTCCTTTAGCCAAGTTTATGTCAATACTATAACCTCGGCCGCTCGTTTCTCTACACCGTACACCTCCATCGCAGATGCAACACATGTGTGGCATTTTCTTCTCGCCCGAATGACTCCTATGACGATGACGCCCTATGACTGGAATGAAACTTCGCTGTCTAGGACACACCCAAAACCGTAAAATATTTAGGTGGGTATTTTTTACTCCCAAGATAAGATTTCAGTTGGTACTAAGTTGAGATTTATAATTCAAGACAAAACTAAGATAGAATTTTGTCGCTCCCAGACCAGTTTCGAAGTAATAACTTATTAATACTACGAAACATTATATTAGCATAGATTCAAATCTCTGGATATTGAAATCTTAAATAGTGACATTTGCATGGATCTTTCACAATATGTTTGATTTCATATTATGTTCAATCATGTTACATTAATGTTTTTTCTAAAAAGTGAAACATATTGTATATACCTATATAGCAATTTTTTTAATATACATATTAAACAAACATTCCCGATATATAATGTGAGACCTCCAGAGCGAAAAATAATAATACATAATTACGAAATGAGCCCATAACTTTCCCAAAAATTTTACGATGACATAGGCTAACAACGTACAAGTTAAGTATTGTTACAACTCAGCAAACTAAAATATAATTATATTTTTCAATTATTTTAAGCATTTAACTGCTAGATGTTTAAATGTAAAGAAAAATTATACTAGAAAAACTCGCACTCTTCGCTATGCGGGCGAATGTACCGACCATTATGCGTCAAATATTCTTCTTAGAATATTGATATGACTAATTTACTAATTAGCTAGGCCTCGGCCAAATTTGGCTGAACAAAAAAAGGGAGATTCTACATTTTAATCGCCGTGTATGCGTTTTTCTGTGTATGTGCGGCGATATCTTCGTGAAATGTAAACCGATTTTCATAATTCTTTCTTTCTATGAAAGTGTAGTGTCCCTTGGTATAGCATATCCATTAAGTCAGGATATGATAATCCTTGAGAAATCAAGGGTGGTTTTCAAAATTATAAGCACTTTTCATTTTATAATAATAGGGGCATTTTTTAAAGTGACTCCTCGTCTATTGGCTTCCAAAAAGTGCCATCTGGTGAAGTGGAATTTATGACGATAATAAAGTCAATAAAAAGCTTGGTCAATATTTTTTCATAATTTGTAAATGAAACAATTTTAATTTAACTACAACCGAGGTTGGTATTACGTCTTTCATATTTCAAGAAGATCTGATACTTACCGCATCCTACAATAAGTACATATAGGTACTTATTTATACAGTTCACGAAGACAGAAATATTAAACAATTTGGCCACAAAGCTTTAGTAGCTCCTGCCGATGATAATATTATTATTTACAGTTTCCGATGTAAATATATTGGAAATTAAATGCGAAAATAAGCAGTTTGCTTTGAGTGCAAACGGTGTTGATAACTTTAGTGGTTGGCATCCGTTCCCCGAAGACTAAGATGTCTTTCGATCTATTCCCATAAATCTTTAATCGTACGTGGATTAAATAGCACTTTATTCTCTTAGAATTAATTATATAAAGTCATCTTAAGTTGAAAACTGATGGTCAGAAAATATTGTTTTAAAAAAGGATTGGGTTACCAACTATTGAAGACGCACGTTACCAATTTATTTTATTTTAACGTGGGTAAGATCGGACAAAATTAAAAAATAATTTATTCAGTTTAGGCTTTACAAGCACATGTGAAAGTAGAAAACGCCATTGATTCGCAAAACAAACGAATTTACTAACAATAAGTGTAAAGAAAAGTCCCAAAATAGTAAGAAACAATCTTCAAAATAAATTGAACAAGTATATGAAACGAGTAAGTGTAAAACTCTTCAAAACTCTCTCTAAGGCCCCCAGTTTCAATATTATGTACTTTAGAAAAATTATCAACAGGTAAAATTACAACCAGGGCGTTTTATCATTCAAATATTGATTTACAGTAAGTATAATATCCTTTCCTAGGTAAGCAATTTTTAATGTGTATTTTAAAACACATATCTCTAAACCTGACCTTAGGTAATAAATATTTTTTTTTACCGATGTTTAATCGTTTAATAAAAAAGTAAATTGTCAATAAAGTTAGTTATGTCAGTCTACGTTAGATGTTTCATTTCGTAGTATAGTGTGATGTGTGAACATTTGGTCCATAACTCGCCGGATTTGAATAAGTAACGATGAAACAAAGATTTGGATATTGTAAGTTGTAAATATTATATAGATTCCAAGAAATATCTTCTATACTTATAATAAATCTGTAGAGAGGTCAATTCTGTACATGAAATAATTTTTCAAAATAACTATCAGGGGGTGATTAGTGATCGATACTGATGCCAAAATGCAATCAGTAATTTTTTTGTCTGTCTGTCTGTCTGTGTGTATGTTCCTTATAGAAACAAAAACTACTCGACGGATTTTAACGAAACTTGGTACAATTATTCTTCATACTCCTGGGCAGGTTATAGTATACTTTTCATCACGCTACAATCAATAGGAGCAGAGTAGTGAAGGGAAATGTTGGGAAAACGGGAAAAGTTACTCCATTTTTTAAGCTTCCGTCGCGTGTGCAGCCTTAATGGTTAAAGTTACATAGAAATCATGTATGACGAAAATATTCTACATAAAATTGTCTAAAAAATATCCCGCAACAGCATATGTCTATCTTTTATGGTTGACTCACAATAACACGTGTAACTCCTGATGGCTTAGCAGTTCGGAGCATTCTGATTATATTTGTTTACTCTTACGTTTATAATACTCTCACTCATCCCTTATTTAAAAAAGTTAACATTATTACCTATTCAATAAAAAAAGAATCATAGAAATCGGTATAGAAACACCAAACTTATACATGAAATAAGCCATCGCGCCGTCGCACGTGAATACTGAATCATGCTATAAGGATTATTTTTGTGTAACGGTTGCCGCGCTCGACACAATCAATACACAATCACTACATAGTATAAAACAAAGTCGCTTTCTCTGCCCCTATGTCCCTTTGTATGCTTAAATCTTTGAAACTATGCAACGGATTTTGATGCGGTTTTTTTTAATAGATAGAGTGATTCAAGAGGAAGGTTTATATGTATAATACATGCATAATATAGTAGAGAAACACTGATAATTTTAGAGGTTTTTAATATAAGGTCGTAAATAAACACATTTTTTTGCGCTTACATTGCAAACGCTGGCTGAACCCAACGAGATAGATCAAAATAATGTACTACAGTATTGTACACCTTAAAAAGGTCTACAAAAAAGTCCGCGATGGTATATAATAATAATAATAATAAAATCATTTATTGCAGGTAGCTAAGACCCATATTTAAAACATGATACTTTATAAAAAATATAAAAACTAATTAAAAATACATTTACATTATTATAATAACAACGTCAATCTTCTATTTGCGATTTCCATCCGTATGCACAGATAGCCAATATCTATAAATTGGATTGTTAAAATCCGCGTACAAACATTTTAGTATGCTGTTACCAGAGCAACGCAGTCCCTCCCAAAAAGAAGCTATGCGCGCCCTAATAACAGCATAGAAGTCCGATACCCCAGCCTCCGCGAACATTGTAGAAGCACTGCAAAATCTCGGCAGACCCATCAGGATACGAAAAATATCATTATATTGAACCCTGATGGTATTATACGACCTCCTGCTGTACTTTATCCACAGTTGACTGGTGTAGAAACTGACACAATAGGCATTGAACAGCGTCAATTTTACCTGCCTGCTACACCGACTAAACCTACGGGCGACCATATTACCCCGAACAGCCATCGCCCTTCTTTCACGCTCTATGTCCACGTCGTCTTTCATATCTTCGGTCAGTATATGACCCAAGTACCGGAATTGGCTTACAACCCGAACAGGTGTACCGTTTAATTTTACACTAGGCACGTTATCCGGACCCTTTCCTGCCTTAAATACCAACATTTCCGTTTTTTGAGCATTGTATTTCAGACCATGGGAATTTATATAATTCTCACAGACTGAAAGTAGTTTCCTAAGGCCCTTAATGGAAGAACTCAGGAGCACCATGTCATCAGCGTAACTAAGACTGTTAACACAGGTCCCACCCACGTGACATCCAATTTTGGTGCTCCTCAGTCGTCCCATTAAGTCATTTACATACAAGTTGAAAAGATCCGGAGATGTGAGCCCGCCTTGACGTACACCGCATTCCAACCTATAGCTATTGGAAGTCGCGTCGCCCCAGCAAACGTAGTTAGTTTGGTTTCCGTACCAAAACTCAAATATTCGCACAAGTTCTTCAGAAGCACCCGAGTCCCTTAATTTTTGCCAGAGAATTTCATAATTAACTAGGTCAAAAGCGCGACTCAGGTCGAGGAAACACGCGTAAACCGTAGTGTTGTAGCCAACATAGTAATTTACGGTGTGCTTTAGAGCAAAAATGGCAGAGTCTGTTGAGAGATTGGGACGGAAACCAAACTGCGCATCATCAATTTCCAAGCACCTTTGCAGTTCAGGTTGCAGCAAACGTTCAAATACTTTTCCTATAATCGTACCCAATGAGATAGGCCTGTAATTAGTGGAAGACGATAAATTACCAGTTTTGTTTTTGGTAATGGGGACGACTTTTGTCAGCATCATGTCATAGGGGAGATACGAATACCTTAGACAAAGATTGTAAAGGCTACTTAGCTTAGGGTAGATCTCCTTACCAGCGTAAGAAATGTGTTCCAAGCTCAGATTGTCATGACCTGGAGATTTCCCCCGCTTCATCCTCCCCACCACCTTCGCTATTTCCTCAGGGATAAATTGAAATTTCTTACTCGTTGACACATGGTCCGCTTTCGAGGCAAATTTGCATTCATAGCCGCTCGCAGGCTGTGGACTTATTTTAAATATATTCGCGAAGTTATTGGCTATCTGTTCAGGTTGTTGTTCATCATCTACACTTATTGGTAAAGACTGTTTTGATGAGAATTTACGCGTTTGCTTCCAAAAGGACACAAACTTTTTATTTTTACAAGAATACGCTAATATGTCAAGTTTTATTTTCTCTTCATTCTTTTGACACCAAGCTAATTTACTTTTAAACTTCTTCCTACTGCAACACATGCTATCGTAAATAGGTCCTGAACAAGGTCTACCAGCAGTAATCCACGACTCAAAGTGTAATTTGTACAAGTTATGACTATCTTTCACATAAATATTCCAACCAGAAATGCTTTTGCATTTACGTTTTGAAGATGGGGAAATCACAGTAGTCTTAGCTTCTTTGGTTAAAATTGATACAATAGATTCATATAATATATCAATAAATTTAAAATGATCATTTATAAAAATACATTGCTTGCTATAACGCGCGTCAGACATATCACAAAATTTGCAATTAAAATTATCATTAATATTCATTAAAAGCTTATTACAATAATTAAAATATTCGTCAATTTCTTTCGCATTTCTATTACCCCAGCGCACTCCAGTGTGGTGTAAAGGGCCACTACTGGGTTTACCGTGAAGTTCAGTTACACCCTCTAGGTTACATACTATTTTTAAAGGTAAATGGTCCGACCACGACACTTCAGCAGAGACCTTTGTAGATACAATTGTGGTCCAAGCAGCCTTGGTGGTAACGCAATGGTCTAACCATCGCTGCGCCCCATTAGAGTCGCTAATGTACGTGAAAAAGGATGAGTATATACCAGATTTTTCAATGTCTGCGCACACCCACTCCTGCTCACGACAAAAACTAAGTAGCTCCTTGCCAAACAGTGCATCTGGATGCGCATTAAAGTCCCCTAGTATATAAGCAAACTGTACATTATATTCTTCAATCATGGAGCTTATTAACGCTAAACAGTTTGTAAACTCGGTCAAATTGTCGGGCCCATCGGTCGGCATATATACATTAATGACCAGTAAAGTACGTGCATCTAGCACTATTCGAATGGCATTAATGCGGTCACATTCACATTCAATTACGGTGACATTGGGAAAGATTTTCTTTCGCCAAAATAATGCAAGTCCACCATACGGCCTTCCTCGTAGCACCCCGGTCGATGTGTCTACTGAGGACTTTGCAGTTGCTGAGAATTCTGGGTGCACCGATTGTACGAAGTCCAAATCATGCGGCAATAACCAGGTCTCTTGGAGTGCGATGATATCGGCTTCATCACATAGATGCCTAACGTGTGCGACCGATCTCTTAATCGATCTACAGTTGTATGAAATCATAGTCGTGTTTTTAATAATATTAATATGTGATTTACTGTCCATATTTTATTTATTTATTTTTCTTTCTATGACGTTTTATGTAATCTAGTTGGTCGATCATGAAAGCGTCGATACTTAACTCCCGTTGGCCAAAAGTCACTAGACAAAAATTTCTCTAACCTATCTTTGTTTATCACAACCTTAAACGAGTTGAAATCTATTAAATGTTAAATGTATATGCCTATCTCTTTGGTATAACCCACAATAACCATTTTTTAATTACTTATTACGAGAAAATAATGGCTTATTTACGAACAAGCGATTTTAAGCAATACAGCATTAATCCTTATCCAATTAAGTACCTTAAATACATTGTGCGTGTAATATAGATCAATATAACCCTCTACAGCATGTAATTTAAATGAATATTTTCGAAGATATTACAGATTTAAAATGCAGGAACATACCGGTTCGGGCAGTACTGGCCGGGGGGCCGGCGGCGGCGCGTGTCTTTAGTAATTAGGTATTTAAAGAAAGTCATTGTGTTTAATAGAAACCTGAGAACAAAAATATAATCTAAACTACAGCTCTACACCGAAGCGAAGCGAGGGCGGGCCACTAGTATGATATAAAAAGGCGGGAGGTCCGAGAGCGAGCTAGGAGCACTCTTTTAGGTGTGTAATCAATTTTTGGCTGTTGATGCGTTCCGAGCGTTCGAACTTATTGACAGACAATATAATTGATATTGAGAAACCGTGCTTATCAGCGCGACTTTTAGTCTTTAAATAGTTTATTTGAATTTCTTTTGTTGTTATTTTGTAAAATAGGTATTAGTTGTTTTGGTAGTGTTTAAATATTCGTTCAAATTAAAAATTATTAAGCGTAGGTACTTTTAATAATTAAAGTAGAACTTAGGTATAATAAGAATGTCTTAGTGTATAATAAAAGCCTGAGAACAAAAACTATAGTCTACACTTCAGCTCTACGAAGCGAAGCGAGGGCGGGCCACTAGTACATAATAAAAGGCAAAATATTCGTCGTAAAATACGGATAATTATTTGACAGTTGGTAAAGAGTATAACGGAAAATTATTTTGAATACTCTCCCTTTTGTCTGTTATTCAAAGAGTATAATGGAAAATTATTTTGAATATACTCTCCTTTTCTCTATTAAAAAAAAATAAGTTGAACAAAGAGTAATATTTTATTGTGTCAAGTAACTGCAAGAAAAATGTCTTTACAAGAAATAATTATTACGCAAAATGAATTATCTATACAAATAAATAGCGCCTTATCCAATTTCAAGAAATCGAAAGCAAGAACAAATAAGTCATATATTGAAACAAGATTAGATTTATTAGAAGCAAACTTTCAATTATTCAAAAACAACCATCTTGACATTACGACAAAGGCAACGCAAGAAGAAAAGAAAAGTTTAACATATTTTCAAGACGATACGTATTATAGTTGTGAAGATGTCTATCTCGAGTTTAAGACTTTGATGAAAGAGAAGTTAGAAGAATTGTTTTTAAATTCGTCGACTTCTATGAATAAGGGAGATGTTCCTGTCTCCACAGCTCCAGGCAAAGCTCTACTAAGGTTACTAACAATTGAAATACCTGCCTTTTCAGGAAGTTACAATGAGTGGACAGGCTTCTATGATTTATTCAAGTCGTTGATACATAATAATACACTGTTGTCAAATATAGAAAAATATCATTACCTGAAAAGTACTTTGAAAGGCGAAGCAGAGAATTTATTAAAGCAGTTTCCATTAACAGAAGCGAACTATGAGAAAGCATTAGAAGTATTGGAGTCAAGGTATGATAACAAAAAACTTATAGTAAATTCGCACATCACACGTCTACTTAATCAAAGGAAGCTTACGTTAGAGTCAGCCAAAGGGTTATGCGCATTATTAGACACTACGAATGAAATATTGAATGCACTTAATAATGTTGGCGTAACAACAACAAACTGAGATCCTCTTATCACACATATCATTGTAGCAAAGTTCGACAATGATAGTCAACGTTTATGGGAACAACAGTTAGCAGGGACTAGAGATATTCCAACTACTAAGCAGATGTTAGATTTTTTGGATGTAAGTTTCAGATCGTTGGAGGCTTTGAATGCTACACAACACAAAGAAGTTGTTACGCGTCAACCGTCTATCAGATCGTTCAAAGCGGATATCGAAGTCATTTGTTCGTTTTGTTTGAAAGATCACTACATCTACAACTGCAAGGAGTTTGTGAAATTGAGCCCAGAAGAACGTAGAGATGTAGTCCAAGAGAAACAACTATGCTTCAATTGTCTTGTACCTGGACAAAGTGTTAGGTTTTGTAAGCAGCTTATGTCATGCAAAGTATGCAGGCGACGTCATCACTATCTTTTACATTTGGCTGTCTATGACACGCAACAAGCTTATGTTTCACAAGTTAAGAAAGAACAAGAAGAGGATACAGAAGACAGAGACACTTCCCAGTTGGCTTTCCACACAACTGATATTACTGATACGCAAGTCTTACTAGCTACGGCCATGTTTCGAGTAATAGGTAATGATGGCAAGAAGTATCAGTTGCGAGCGCTGATTGACCAAGGGTCACAAGCATCGTTTATTACAACATCAGCCGCTCAGGTTTACGTAGAGAGTGTAATATCAGCAAGATGACAGGAATCGACATAAAACTATCGATGATTTGTAAACAGATTGCAGGATTCGACATTTTTTCATTATACAATGACACACCGATAGTTAAAGTAGAAGCTCATATATTGAAGTCATTTTCTTCGATATTGCCACGCCAAGAGATGCGCTTGAATTTATCATCAAGTATAAAAACATTGCCTTTAGCAGTACGTACGTTTTTAGTGGTATTGATATTTTATTGGGGGCTGGGATATATGCTCAGATTATTAAGGAGGGGTTAAAGAGATATGGTTCAGTCATAGCACAGAATTCGCATCACGGTTGGTTTATTTCAGGAAAAGTTGAAGAATGTGTGTGCAGTGTGCTTTACACTGAAACTAGAGAAGTTGTTTTAATGAACAGCCAACATGAGACAGATAAGACAATAGGACGATTCTGGAAATCTGAAGAACTACACCCTAAAAATCGTAAAAAGACTGCACGTGAAACAGAGTGTGAGGAGAAACCTAAAAGGAGACATTCTCTTACGAGAATGTCGTAATTGTCATCTTGTCTTCTTGTCGTCATTACTGACGGGGTGCGTTCTATTTTAAAGTGTATGGCTCACTGCTCGGAGTATCAAAGTCTCTTGCTGTCAAACGTTTGTTGCAAACTGTACAAGCCTTTGTACAGTTTGGAGGTTTTTGTACAGGTTTTCAGAGGAATGAGGATTTACACAAGCGTTATAGAGGTTTTATGGATGACTATGAAGAGTTACAAGATATGAAAAAGGATAGTTTTAAGAAAAGAAAGAAGAACTACCAAGCCTCGTGTTAGGATTGATTTAGATGAGAGACAAGTATAAGAGCATCTTTGAAAAAGCATAAGTAATTGTTTCACATTTATAAAATAAAAATACTTAAATTTTTGGGATAGCGAATAAATTTGTATACGTAATATTTTGCAAGAAGTTTTGACTGCATTACTGCAGCGGGGGGAATGGTTCGGTGCATACAATGTTCTGAACAATGTTTGAATGTAAATGATATGCATGAATAAGTTATTCTACAAGAGGGTATTAATTGTTTGTTACTAGGAGAGAAAGGATAAAGAGCAACGTTTATATATTGAACAACAAGTGTAAGTAGCAGTAACGTCTGTAATGAATTTTATAAGTACTTTACGGCTAAAAATTAATACAGTCCATTGTTTAATGATTTTCTAAACAATTTTAAGAATGATTGAATGAAATACCTATGCAGTCCATGAATTGTTGTATTAGAATTTAAGAAACATCATTTTAAAATAATAATAATGAACTATCGAATGGTGTATGTGTTTCTTAATCAAATCTATTATATATTATGTTGTATGTATGTATGATGATGTAGACATAAGGATGTGCTTATTCATCATTATGCTTGATTTTTGTTAGTTTATTTTTGGTAAATTTATATAATTGTATTTTTTAAATAGACCATTGACTATTGCTTCAAATGTAGCTATTGAGGTCCACATGCTGGATAGAATAATTAAATGTCAGATCTTTGTGAAGCTACATGTTAAAGCAATACAATTTGTTATAAGATATGCAACATCTAGATCTACTTATCGAGTATCGGGTAATTTGCCGGCAAAATAAGTCATTGTTTTTAAAGCGTTTATGTTGATTTCCGATACAAATATTTAAAATTTGTCATTTAAAGTCAGAAATTTGTTTCGAATTTTTTATCTAAGTGTTCGAAGATCTATCTATTCAAGATAATAATTTTATATACTTTGTTTAAGTTTAACGCAATGATTAACTAATATGCAATGAATGTTAATGTCGCCCTACGTAATTTTCATAATACGTTTCATTTCGTAGTATAGTGTGATGTGTAAACAACCGAACTTCAAAAAGGAGAAGAAGATTAGCAATTCGTAAATATATTTTTTATCCTTATTAAATCCTTTTTGCGATTGTATATACCCGCGTAGGTATATATACAACCTACGTAAAAATAAAATCAATTAAGGTTTATTTAGAGCGCTACGTAATACGGATAATGAACCTAATAATAACTCGCGACAGCATCGTCATGGCATCGTTTACGTTTGTGTACGTTACTCGTTCCCCTAAAATTCTATTGAACAATTTATCATGCACGTGAACTCCTTTCATCACAATTTTTAACTATAGGTATGTCTGTTATATATATGTACTAAAAGACTTTAAGGCCTACGTTTATAAATGTATCTCGAAAACTGTAGGTACTCTTCCAGAAATAGGTAAATGAGTACTTTGTAATTTGGCAAATGGTTTTTTCAATCACTGGTAGGTACTTAACTAATTCCAAAGGCTACATCAACAGAGTAAATATGTCTAAACCCAAAAGACATTGCATGGATTTTTCTTTATTTCACTTTTTACAACTAACCCAGCCAAGCTTCATTTACCTACCATGCCACAACGTAGGTATTGTTATTAACACCCTATTGGGTAGTGTTTGGGTTAAAGTCTTAGATTAAAACAAAAAACCGCTTTTTTATTTTAATCTAAGGTTAAATACAAATAAAACCGTCATTATGAACTTGGAGCGTGCCAAACCACCACGTGGAGAAATGGATATTGAATTGATTTAGACATATACATTAACGATGGCGGCCGAAGGGATTATACTACCACAATATAGGATTAGGATAGGAACAAATAACAAGCCGCGCACAATGAACTAAGACGGTAAGATAAATATGCACTTAAATAAATCTAGTTATAAATTAGTTGTTATTTTTTGCATCAAGTAGAATTAAAATTAGACGGAAGATTTGAATCTTGTTGTTTTTAAAAACTGGTACATTGACTAAATAAAAATAACCGGGAAATTGCCAGTCGAACACGCACGTGAAAAGGTTTTGTATCATCGTAAGTACAATAGTTATTTATTATACAAGAGTGGAAAGTTCCTTTTTAACCGCGTGCTCGATTTGGATGACCGAGCAAGCGAAGGATTCTAAAGTTGAATCACGAGCGCAGCGAGTGATTCTAAATTAGAATCCTGAGCGTCAGCGAGGGAAACAAACGAGCACAAGGTGAAAAATCTTTCCACTCGAGTGCAATACGTAACTTTTCATCCCACCTCAGCGAGGAAATGACAAAATGAAAAAGAAAACAATTTATAATGACAAAATATTTTTATTTCAATTAAAACACATTAAGATAATCTATAAATTGAAGAAAATAATAAGAAGTAGAAAATAATTAAGAAATATTAAATGTAACGTTGCTACAGTTACTTATGTTAAGTTTAATATTTTTGTTAGGTAATGTTATGTTGGTGTTTGTGAATTGTGCGCTGTTTTGTGGTAAACTACTCGTATCAGTAATTTTAAATAGTTGTGCCGATTCATTGGATTCTATTGGCGTAAATGTTGGCGAGAGAGGGCTATTGTTTCCAATCTTATGGGGGCTCATTTTAGATGTAGAAGGGCGAGACCAAGAATCTGACAGAGGTTCTTTCAGCGTTATGGCCTCCACGATACTATTACAAATTTTTGATTTACTTTGGATTGAATCCTCTATGTATCCCTCTACAACCGAATTAGACTTCCAGCCTCCATGGCGCTTAAGCGATAGAAGATCAGCCCCTGATTCGGCCAAAAGTGTGGCTGAGGTTCTTCTAAAACAGTGACCGGTGTATAACGGGGGTTCTAAAAGTCCGAGAAAAGTTGCTATTTCTCGTGGAATACTGCCAATTTTATTCTGACCCATAGGTTGTCGGATACACTTTCCGTTGCGATATTGTAGAAAAAATCGTTCAATTGGGGTGTTAGAAGGACGTAAAGCTTGATATTTCTGAACAATGTTTACATATTCCTTGCGAATAACGAAGTTGCGGTCTTTTTTTGTCTTGGTATTTAGTACATTAATTAATAGCAATTCATCAGAATTATGAGAATATTTTGATACGTTATTGACATTAAGTAGTGTAAGTTCATTTCTTCGACATGCTCCGGTTATACCAATAATAAGAACAACCTGTAACAAAAGAAGTATTTATAATCGTAAATAAATTAATCAAATTAAAAATATTGTAAGTACTATGTACAATTTTATCAACAACAAAAAATTACACGTATTGACTTACTTTTGCCGCTAAATATACGGAATCAGGTGCTTCATTAATAAACTTTGCAATTTCAGATGCTGTGAAAACCTTCGATTTTTTTGGTTTATAACCAGATGAGGCTCTTTTTAAAAATGCCACTAATTTATGATAGGTGTCGATATGAACGTCTTTCTTCATCTTAATTGTTAATTTTAGCATTGAATACGTACTCCATAGCGTGCTTGCTTTCTTGGTCTCAGATAATTCTATAAAATATGCCAGCAAAACGTTTTCGGAGAAAGTTTTTGCTCCTTTAGCTAGTCGCCACATGTTAAATATATCGTACTGTTTCAAATACTTCTCTCGTGATTGCTGAGGGAGAAGGCTCATTTGCGCATTATTAACTGTTTCAGTTAACTCAGTTGGCGTTAGATAAACTTCATCGTCGCTAATGTCACTCATTTTAGTTGATTTTTTTGTACAGTTTTTAGGTTATGTTAATTATATTAAGCAATAAAACGTGAAAAACTAGAATGGCGCGAAGCACGCAAATAAAACAAAGAAACCAAGAAGGTTCCAAATTTAAATTTTTTCACAATTTAAAAAGTTCTAATCATAAATTTGGCACCATAGAGGTTACATTAAATAGGTTTAATGACGTTTTGAATTTACAATTATATTGAGTACTCATTATATGTGATGTTCTAAATTCAAATCTACTTTGCCGCTCAAGCGAATAAAATAGAATTTTCCAGCCAGATTTCGAAGCGCAAAATTACACTTTCCGAGGTGGTGGGATGAAAAGTTAATTTCTCATTTAGAATACAGCCCTTAGGTTAAGTTCCACCAAGTATATATTTTTTATTTAACTAGAGGTGGCTTGCCGTTCGCCAATAAAAGATAGAGAAATGCTGTTGCGGTTTTTTTTTTATAAAAGTTTTAAAGGGGAACCCGTTATTCATCAATTTTGTGTAACTTTTAGCGTTTACGCTAAAAATACAATGCTTTTATATGCTATAAAGGCTATCTAAATATGACATAACCTTAAAATGCTTACGTAATTTAATATTTTCTTTAAACCACCACTTAAGTTTCTAATGATATTTTTCCTACGCAATATACACCTGATTCCCTATTGTTGTACACTTATTCCAATAAGACGCAATAAAAAAAACTTAGCCCAACTCCCAAAGTAAAATGCCCATTCTCCTTTTTCCTGTTTTTGCAACAAATTTCGATATATGGACATGTAGTTCCTGAGATTAGCGCGTTCAACCAAACAAACTCTTCAACTTTATAATATTAGTCAGTAAAGATTTTGTGGCATAGCAGCAATAGATGTAGGTACACATTCTGGGAAAATATTAATTGTTACTTTAACCCTGATAGATGGGCGGACGGACATAAGGTCACCTGACAAAAGGTTTCTGTTTTCATTATTTTCGTACAAAATTTTAAAATTGAACCACTATTCCAAGTTTTATAATACTCTTAAAATGTTCTTACGAAAAAGAAGAAAATTATGCAAAGAATTAAGAAATATGTATAATAAAACTTACAACTCTAACGAATGGGTGCTGCTTTTCTAAGATTTCTATTCTATATATTTTCCGATAGTGCTTCGGAAGGCACGTTAAGCCGTTGTCCCGGCTGCATCTGCAGTCGTTAGCACCCGCCAAACCGCACTGGGCCCGCGTGGTGGGTCATGGCCAATCTCCCTATTCCATCCGTAGGGAAGGCCTGTGCCCCAGCAGTGGGGATATTAATAGGCTGATGATGATAATGATGGTGAATGAATAATTTAAGAAAATCAATGAACCCCATGTGCGGAACCGATTTGTGAAAAAACACGTTACCTTGATCTAGAATTGAACATTTTTCTTATCCGATAATCCTTTAACTACATTATTCGCGTCATTCGTAACCCGTGGAGTTGTTAGCTTTAACTGTAGTAACAAGTTATGTTATTTACACAATATAAGCAAACAACCTCGCCGTAGGTATATAGCAAAGCAACAGTTCATTTTATTTATTTATTGAATTTCACATTACAATAAATAATGATAAATATATTTCACCAGTGCTACAAAAACCTGTGTAGGTTTTACCGAGTTAAGACCATTAAATTAGTGATGGTGGAAGCCGTCTTTTGAAGTTAAGTATCATGCTGAAAACGAAAACCCCTGGTGTTTGTCTCTTGAATAACATATTTGAAGACTGAAAGCTTGAAAGTGGAATCGAGTAATGTTTTCTCATCTATGTTGTGGTGCATCATACATATAAAGTGATTACCGCCAAAAATACGGGTAGAGTCTTGGTAGAGCACCAGTTCGGTAGTTGCATTACCTTTAAACCTAAAACTTTTAGTAATAAGCTAGGTATTTAAATAAAAGAATACTTAAATGGATACTTAATTTCTATAATTAAGAGTCCGATAAATTATTTCAATTATATCTATAAAAGTTCCCAACAATAGTCCGTTACCTAGACAAACCTTATATTGGTGTCTTGGGACTCACTCGGCCTGTCGGCCACATATCCTAAGATAACTAAACTTCAAACCTAAAACTGGTTTCAATCAACAATCGAACATTGAACAGACGCCGTTATTGAAAATGAGTTGAATAAATAAAATATTTATAATATCGCAGCAAGGATCGCCCGCTCGGCGTGGGACCGGCCTCTGTGGGTCGGTTGCGTCAAGGATATTTTTAGGAGTCGACAGGACGACCGACGCGCCTGCACAAAAAACAGCCACCCCTGGCGCCGAATTTCATGTCCATATTTTTATTGGCATACCGGTTTAATGGGATATATCCTATGTGCCTTTTCTTGAAATGCGATTTAAAAATTTAATGGGTCATAATCATGGTTTTGTAACTTAAAAATTAATGGTCAACAAAACCAACGGACGCATCTTGGCATCATTTCAAAACTCTAGGTAGATTAATAACTATCATACTAATGAGATGTAAACAAATTACCTATTTCATCTGAATACTAAAATATGTGTTCGTCGGAGTAATAACAGGATGCGGCATCCCTGATTCTGTCTGTTGTAGTGACCTTTCCATCTACCTATGTATGAGAGTAAATACGAAAATGTCGGACAAGATGAGACGAACAAAGCCGATCAGTCGGTTGTTGTACGCGTCTCTGTCTAACTCATGCGACTTGCGCAGGAGGCGGCGCTCTGGGAGGCGCAAGCGCAGTGGAGCGGTTATTTTTTGTGTCTTGTCAATGAAATGAAGGGACGCGCGCACAGGACCTTAGTTTCACAGCTTAGTTCGTCCGCGCCCACCACCCCGTACGTATGCCGCACGCAAGCGCCCGGTGCGCTGATTTACAACGCCGCGCCCGCGCCGCACCACACCGCGACAACATGAACTACGCGTACGAACCTTCTGACCATTTACCAGTGTCTATTAAGCGTGAAGTTGACATTGAGTACCATGATAACGATTACTTTGCATACGCACCCGTGGAAGTCGAACGGCATCCTGAGATGGTTTCCTTTTCACCTTCATCACCGACAAAATTGATGGATTTAAGTAACAGTTCGGAGAGACCTACACATCAGACGTGGCCGTCAAACTTATCGTTTGACGGTGATGAAAGAGAATATCCACAAACACAATACCCACCTTACGAGCAATACCAGAAGGAGTATCCCAGAAATTTTTACTTTGAAGATTCCAATTCTAAGGATGGCATGCAGAGATACTTCGAGAGCAACGACATGCCAAAATTAGGAATCACATATAGGTCGTCAATTGACGAAAACGTCATAGAGACAGAAGATCAGAGAAGAGCTAGAAAACGCACAAAATCATCGAAGAAGAAGTCTGCAAGCTTCGAGGAGTTGCAGGTGCAGCGAGTGATGGCGAACGTGCGCGAGCGGCAGCGCACGCAGAGTCTGAACGAGGCGTTCGCGAGCCTACGGCAGATCATCCCCTCGCTGCCCAGCGACAAGCTGTCCAAGATTCAGACGCTGCAGCTGGCCACGCGCTACATCGAGTTCCTGTACCAGATCCTGTCGAGCGGCGAGCAGGTCAGCGACAGCGGCAGCGACGCCGGCTCCGACCACGGCAAGTACCTCGCGCAGGACAAGCTAAGCTACGCCTTTTCCGTCTGGAGGATGGAAGGAGAGTGGACCAATGGACAAACGTGATGTGATGTGTAAACTGTGAACTTTACAAATCTTTGAAAATATTCCATTTTAATGTAGTAAATTAGTTTCTATAATTAGGTATAAGAGATCTACAAATTTGTTATTCAAATTCTAGAGATACATGTGATAGTTTATTAAAATTGTTATGTTCTGATTTTTACATGGTTTCTATAATGCCTGTTTGTATGGATCTATTAAATTTAATTTAGCGATTGAATTGGTTGTGATGTTTTGAAAAAAAAGGGGACCAGTTTATCAAATCTATGGAAAAGGCGATGCGTTCTATTCCATGTAACGTTGTAATTGTAACACAGATACTTTATACTTACGCATTTAGGTAGTACTCATGGAGTACGTTACGTTATAAAAAACCATTGCAATCAAGTCCTATACTGAAATGTGAGATACGTATCCACATTTTTCTATTGGTTAGATTCATACAGTTAGATATTTATCTAAACATGACGAAACGAAAAGAAGAATTCCTTAATTTGCTATTAAATATGGGTAGGTGGGTTAATGATAGTTGCAAGAATACCAAATGATTATGCTAAGTCATTTCGAAATATGAAAGCTAATGGAGTAAGTAAGTAAACACAATCTTAAAAAGTAATTGTGAAGAGTATTGCTTTTTTTGTTAAAAATTGTTTCAAGTTTCTTAATAAAAAAAAATACGACGTAATTGTACAGTCACTCGTTGTATTCACAAGCTCCTGTGAAATTCGCTCTCCTCTCCTTTCTCCAGCAAAATTGATTCTCCCCTCATTAAACTCAACTTTGAAACCTTTTTATATCTTAACTACAGCGACAGGGCTCGCTTTAAAATATCCCAGAAATTTTTACTAATTGTTTTTTAACATTTTAATGTGTTTTTACAATTATTTTATGGTTTTCCTATTATTGTAAAATGAATATTTGGTTGGTTAGGAAGCTGTTAGTATACATTGTTAATTAACAAAAAAATCATTAAATAAATAAATACATTAAGTTATGAGTGACATTGTATTTTGTTTGAAAATTTTCAAAGAAACGTTAAAATTAAATCTTATTTTGCTATGTAAGCTTTTCGCTGTTAGATCACCACTGATCTCAGACCCAAATATCGGTAGAAGCATTTATTTGTGCTAAAAACACAGTTTTGTTCCCGAATCAGGCTAACCTATCTAAATATGTATAGTATCCATTATTAAGATCCATAGTATCTGCATAGTATGGAACTAAATAGTGTTGCCTAGAATTTGTTATAAATTCAACAGAAAAACTCCCCCTGCGCTACAGCACGGTAATCTATACTTATAATGAATCTGTAGAGAGGTCAATTCTGTACATGAAATATATTTTCAAAATAACTATCAGGGGGTGATTAGTGATCGATACTGATGGCAAAAATGCAATCAGTAAAATTTTTGTCTGTCTGTCTGTGTGTATGTTCCATAAAGAAACAAAAACTACTCGACGGATTTTAACGAAACTTGGTACAATTATTCTTCATACTCCTGGGCAGGTTATAGTATACTTTTCATCACGCTACAATCAATAGGAGCAGAGTAGTGAAGGGAAATGCTGGGAAAACGGGAGAAGTTACTATTTTTTTAGCTTCCGTCGCGTGTGCAGCCTTAATGGTTAAAGTTACATAGAAATCATGTATGACGGAAATATTTGACATAAAATTGTCTAAAAAATATCTCGCAACAGCATATGTCTATCTTTTATGGTTGACTCACAATAACACGTGTAACTCCTGATAGCTTAGCAATTCGGAGCATTCTAATTATATTTGTTTACTCTTACGTTTATAATACTCTCACTTATCCCTAATTTAAAAAAGTTAACATTATTACCTATTCAATAAAAAAAGAATCATAGAAATCGGTATATAAACACCAAACTTATACATGAAATAAGCCATCGCGCCGTCGGCGTCGCACGTGAATACTGAATCATGCTATAAGGATTATTTTTGTGTAACGGTTGGAAACACTGATAATTTTAGAGGTTTTTAATGTAAGGTCGTAAATAAACACAGTTTTTTCCGCTTACATTGCAAACGCTGGCTGAACCCTACGAGATCGATCAAAATAATGTACTACAGTATTGTATACCTTAAAAATGTCTACAAAAAAGTCCGCCATGGTATCTGTCTATCTCTTAGGGATAACTCACAATAACCATTTTATATCCTATACTTTTTACGAGAAATAATAGATTATTTACGAAGTGATTTTCAGCAATATAACATTCTTCCTTATCCAATTAAGTACCTTAAATACCTTGTGCATTTAATATAGACCAATTTGGCTATTTAACGCATGTAATTTAAATGAATATTTTCGAAGATATTACAGATTTAAAATGCAGGGACATAGCGGTTCCGACGCTACCGGGCGGGGCGCCTGGTGGCGCGTACCTATTGTAATTAGGTATTAGAAGAATGTCATTGTGTATAATACAAGCCTGAGAACAAAAACTATAGTCTACACTACAGCTCTACACCGAAGCGAAGCGCGGGCGGGCCACTAGTAGATAATATTACCGTGGCTACAGCGAAAGTTATGACGCCGATCACAGTATTTTATCTAATACTACATTTTTTGTCCTCAAATGATTACTTATTTATGTATCCACCTAGGGCACACCGCAACCGCATATTCTTATTAATAAGAAACAACAAATTTCGTATTTAGCTTTATGTCAGTTTTATTTGGTCGCCGGAGACAGGCTGTCATTTAGTAACTGGTAATAATTCATCTCGCCATCGTAAATGCGGCTAAAGATAAACAGCCCGTCACGTTAGAACTATACAGAAATATCCCATTATACGTTTCAAAACACTTCTGCGGCAGTCAGGAGTAATTCTAACAGTTCATCGTTTACAATAATTTATTGCATTCAATTTTCACGTATGAATAAAGCGCAATAAAATATTCTTTATATTTGCGAAGAAGTTTTATATGACTTCGATGGTAAATGAAAATTTTAACGTTTTATACAATTGCAAAGCTTTTTGGGAAAACAAATTGTAACGAAACGTCATTAGATTTTCTGGATTTTCCCTCCCGCATATAGAAATAGGAAAACCCTCCAAATGCATGTATTAATTATGTTTTGAGTTTTTTTTGTCGAATCCCATGATTTTAAATTTTGTCATGATAATATTAACTAAAGAAAATCAAGTTTTGGTAAAAATAAATGGGAAAGCAACCACGAGTAATAATCACGATTTAAGAGGCTAAGAGTCTATAAGTGTTTTCACACGTAGACACTTATTATTTGCTACACTAGGGATAAAGGGATTAATTCCACCGAATTCCAAAATCCCTTCCACTTTAACTCCAAAACAAATAAAATTTAATCACGGCAACTTCTGCGGTGAAAGGTGAGCTTGTTCTTATAGAATAGCACTGCTGGAATCAAAATAAGACCGTTTTTAAGAAAAAGTTCGCTTAATATTGATGGAGGCAAATTTTCATTAATATTAAAAGTAAGGGTGCTTTTCCTCCAACCATGGTCTTTTATCCACACTGTTTTCTTTCCAGTTCGATTCCAAAAAAAATTTTGATTAAAGCTCAAGCTTACCTCACGAAACCGTCGGGGTGACCAGATGGGGCGAAAACCATACGCTTTGTCTGTCGCGTCGCGTGCCCTACATTACAAACGCAATGATATAAGAAGGAACCTCTATATAATATACACCTATTGCGCACTGTAGCAAAAAACTACAAGGACCAGAAATTATCATGCAAAAAGACTTGCAGTTTTTGCGCAAGTGAAAAGTACCTACCTAGGAAACATTGATTGGCTTTACACTAAATGAGTGTATTAGGAGAACACAGATGAAACTCGTAGAAGATTACTTAGACAACCGATGCAAGTGCGTATAAATAGAAAATATTACCAGTGATTGCCAAAAACCAAGCTGCTATGGTATTCCTTAAGGAAGTATAATCTGTCCCATCCTGTTCCTTGTTTATATTATCGATTTAAGTAATATGTATTAAAAAAAAAAGTATCATACGCTGGTGACACAACCCTTATTTTTAGCACCAAAAGTAACAGTGAACTATATGAAATTACTCAACTTGGAATTAATACTGTAAATGACTGGCTTCACTGCAATTTTCTAACATGAAAATGCTTCTTTAGTGACACTAACCCTAACTTATGTGCACACCAGTGTCAAAACCCCATACTCAATAATAATTGCGATTGTCCGTTATCTTAAGCACATCTAATACTAAATATCTGGATATTATAATATAAATGACGATACATTGTCTTTTAGACAGGTAAACAGAACCCGTAAATTAATGTATGTCTTCAAAAAACTACGTACAGTTGGCTGATCCCAAACTAATTAAATACATTTATTAGACCATATGCTAATCTATAATTCAATACTGCAAAACTTTCTGAGGAGGAGCACTAAAAACTATTTTAATCCCTCTTGAACGAGCCCAGAGAGCTATCCTGCAAATTGCCAATCCATTTCCTTTATATTATCCTACACACCTACTTTTACAAATCCTGCTATTAACAGTTCATCAGCTTTTGAATTGAGTATGTGAATTTAATGTTACCTACAAATTGATTATCGCACTCATTATTAGTATAGATTTTCAATGAATGTAATTGTGACTCATTTATCATGAATAAAAGAAAAATATTATTATGCATTAGTGGATCTTGCGTCGCGTAAGAGAGCAAGATACGCTGCGTGTGATCCGACACATACGCGATCAAAGTAACTTAGTGGCAAATATATAATAAAATGGTCGCCTTCATAAGTCATCTAGGGTGATAATCTACTGTAGGTAGGTTGTAGTTTCTTATATCATTTTTCGTTGCACACTAAATAATTTCATGATGCCCAAGTTCAGTCTTGTAAGTGACTACAGAAACTAAACAGGTTTTTATTTTATTTTTATTTTATTAATTAAGGGATAAAAGGTTCGCCGACTGGGCCCGCGTGGTGAGTCATGGTGGCCCAATCTCCCTATTCC